AAAGACTCGCGTTAAGAAACAGCGCAGGACACAGCTGGTGATCAAAAAGTCAAGAAGGATCTACAAAAGTTCGCCTTCAGAGGACAGACGAGCCTTGAAGCGCCTCAAGTTCTCCTTGACAGAGGAAGCCAGTTGCTGTTCTCTCACTGTCTCCCGAAAGCCGTACCTCATCATGGGTAGACAGCTGGGAGCTGTCTTCATCCCTACCTTCGTTATGCCTTTCAAGAAATCCAAGGTGAATTGTGTTATTGTGGAGTCTGTTACTTATACTTCTGGGCATAAATCAAAGTTATCTGGTTGCCTTATATGCCTGATATCTCCACTCATTCTTCGTCTCTCAAGAGAGTGGAGATTCAAGGCTCTAATTTATTTTTCATCTCTCAAGAGTAAAGATTCATGGCTCTAAGTCATGGTAATTTCCTTATACAGCGAATCTACCTACTCCTTCTTCTCTGTATGTTCTCCAGTGAATTTTTATCCATCCTGTAGTCAGGAGACCAAAACTGAGCAGTATAAACCATACCCCCGGCCGGGATTGAACCCGCGGTCATAGAGTCTCAAAACTCCAGCCCGTCGCGTTAGCCACCAGACCTTCCTATGGTGTAGAAATATACCTAGTTGGATGAATCTTATTGTGGCTAGCTGGTCTAGTGGCTAACGCGACGGGCTGGAGTTTTGAGACTCTATGACCGCGGGTTCAATCCCGGCCGGGGGTATGGTTTATTTGCAATCGTGTCATTACGATTTCTTGAGTCAGTCTGAGCAGCATAATCTAGACGAGGCCTCACTAGTGATGTATAGAGCTGTAAAATAACTTTTGGACTTCTGTTACTTATACTTCTTGAGATAAATCCAAGTAATCTGTTGGCCTTGTTGCGCACACTGAGGCACTGCTGTCTTGGCTTTAGATTTCTGTTCACCATGACTCTCAAGTCTTTTTCACATTCTGTATGACCAAGCTCTACTTCATCTGGTTTATAACTTCGAGGGTTATTTTCAGACCCAAGGACTAGGACTTTACACTTGTCCACATTGAACTTCATCTGCCACTTTTCAGACCAAGACATTAATTTGTCCAAATCCTCCTGGAGTTCATTGCTATCCTCCTCAGAATCAATCATTCGGCCTATTTTTGTATCGTCAGGAAATTTACTAGTGTCACTTGTAATTCCTTCGTTAAAGTTATTAATTTAAATTATGAACAACAATGGGCCTAAAACTGATCCTTGTGGAATGCCATTAGTGACCAGTCCCCATTCAGACTTGACCCCATTAATGGTAAAACTCTGCCTTCTATTGGTAAGTCATGCCTCTATCCATGCTAGAACTTTACCTCCTATACCATGATCTGCCACTTTTCTTAAGAGTCTGTTGTGAGGTACTGAAATCCGAATAAACATCATATTCTTTATCACTGTCTACTGATCTAAGTCCATTATAATTGGCAGAACGATAATCAGGTACTAATACCGTATTATCCTTATTTTTGCACTTCCAGGTAATAATAAAGGTAATAGATTTGTGATCGCTTGTGCCAAGTTCTTCTGTGATCTCCAGATTTACGAGGGTTTCTTTATTTTACAAGTCTGTCAAGCTAATTATTACGTCTGGTAGGCTCTGTTACAGTTTCAGAAACCAGTCCTGAACTACTTCCAGGAAGTAACTGAACTCCAGATTACCAGTCAATGAAGGCCAGTCAATTTGACTAAAGTTGGAAACATAAACACATATGCAGTTTAATGTGATCCTTTATTGAGAACGTTTCGCCCACAGAGTGGGCTTTTTCAAGTCACACACAGATCTACCTGGGGTGGAAGGTACTTGAGTATTTATAGTCAAGTTCAGAATGTTGAGGTCAGGTGGAGAATGCTGCATCTGATGATCTACCGGGTGGGGTTATAGAGTCTTGGGTAGCTTGGCAGGGGTATTGGACAAGTTGTGAGTAGACCTTCTGCAGTGTTCTATGTTCTTATGTGGGATAGCGATGAAGAAGTTTCTTGGCAAGTGGTTCAGCTATGTTATAGAAGCCATTGTTCTGGATGAAGTTGTTGGTTATAGAGATAAGCGATGATTCCAGGATTCTTCGGTATTGAGTGTTGTCTTCTGTGGCGATAAGTCTTGAGTTTCTGTAGTTAATTAAATGGTTGTGTGAATTTGCGATGTTGTACACAGGCATTCCTTGTATCGTCAGTCCTGCTTGCGTATTGGTGTTCTGAAATACGTGTTTGGAGGTCTCTTGATGTTTCGCCCACTAAAGTTATAACAACTTTGTCCCAAAGAAGTCACCCTTATTTTCTATGCCAGGAGGTCGGTATATTACACCTAAAATTAATTTTTATTTAACTTTCAATAACTGAAAGCCTGTACTTACCTACGTCCTTTCTAAATCTAAATTCAGAAAGGACATGAGCAGATTGTAAACACATCTAATGTACTGTTTTTGTTCACACAGCCTTTGCGTCAAGCAGTGAAGATGTTCCGTCGTGGGTTGAACTGTTCAGATCCTAACCTGATCACAAACAACCTGGAAACCACCCCACTAACCGAGCACCAGATGGAGGAGGAGCCAGCTGCCTCCAACAGCAAGATCCGGCCCAAAAACTGCCAGAAAAGGTGCCGGAGGAATTGTAGTAAGAGATGCCAGAGGAACAGAGTTGCAAACTGCCTCAGCAACTGCACCAAAGGCTGCAGGAAGAACTGTAGGGATGGTCGAAACTCCCGTGGTAGGAACAGGAAGGGGGGTTCGAACCAGGGCCGTCCTGGTACAACCACAAACAGAAGGCCCAGCCAAGGTGACCTTAGCAGCGAAATGGGCAGCTTCGTCCCCTCCAGTATCGAAAAGTCTTCAAGTCAGGAAGCTGTTGAGAGCCCACAGACAACAGCGACACTTCCAGTCTAAACAGTATTTCACAGACTGAAAGATGCGTTTTAACTTAAACAAAACAAGACGGGGAAGCGCTAAACACGTAATAAACCTTGTCAAACATGTATGGTAGACTAATATCAACAACGTGAAGACTTACCCAGATGTTGTACATGTGTGTATCTTTATTTGTAGACGTTTCGCCCATCCAGTGGCTTTATCAATACAATACAAGAACATAATGGGAAGACCGTAGAACTATATACGGGAAAACAAGATAATCAATACCTTAATTTTGGAGTTGGTGAAGAGGGACTGATTACCTGGACTTTCATATAGAGTTTTACAGTTTTAGTTATGTCCCTGTATTGTATTGATAAAGCCACTGGATGGGCGAAACATCTACAAATAAAGATACCCAGGTTTCGGACATGTGTCTAAGTCCTCACGGTATCAACCTTGGTAACAAATACCGTCAAGTTGGTTTAGAAATAATCTTGGATGAACACTGGGAAATATCAGAACGTTTCGCTCCTGGGACCTTGGGTAAGGTCCCAGGAGCGAAATGTTGTCTAATATAACCCGGTGTTTGCTCACTTGTTTTTCTAAAAAATGCTAAACACGTATGTGCGTCACACAGCACACCAGGGGAATAGGAGGTATTAGTCATGGGGACGCATTAAACCCAAAGGGGCCACACAGAGCACTGGGAAATGGGGAGGGTAAATCAGGTTGGTGATGGGCAGTGGGACTGTGCTCAAACCTGTGAATTTTTGCGTCGATTTTTTTTTCTCTCTTATCTATGTCAAAAGACCAGGAAGGTCAAAATGACCTGCAGGTGACCTGCAGGTGACCTGCAGGTGACCTGCAGGTCATTGGCTAGGCACAGAACTATACCAGTGCTATTATATATAGTTTTAAGGCGAGTGTCATAGTAAGAGAGCCAATAGGTAATGCCTGACATGTGGAGCACTCACTGATAGGGGGCTAGTTTCTTACACTGTCTAAAGGGATTTTATAAGTCTTTTAAGACGATTTTCTCCACTCTAAGACAGTGGATCAAGCCTACACTATCCCAGACTATCACAGAATATTGCAGACTATCACAGAATATTGCAGACTATCACAGAATATTACAGACTATCACAGAATATTACAGACTATCACAGAATATTACAGACTATCACAGAATATTACAGACTATCACAGAATATTGCAGACTATCACAGACTATCACAGAATATTAGACTATCCTAAACAATCCAAGACTATCCCCATGGAGCCACAAACCCGCCAGGGCTCAATGGAAGGTTGTAAATCTTTGCTCCCACGATCCTCGGATCCAATTCCTCGAATCAAGAGCCTTCACGCCAGCATCAAGAAGGGTTCCAGGGTTTACTTAAACCCTGAATCTCTTTATTTTGCAATAAAACCCCATTAAAACTGTAGTTAAAACATTTTGCATTAAAACTCCCAGGTTTCTTACGTGTAAATCATTTACAACTTGTATTTAATAGGGGGAAATTGGGAGGTCATTAAGGCTGATCCGAGGAAGGGGAGGAATGGCCGCTCCATCTCCTCGGATCAAGAGCCCCTCGTGTGAGTACATTAATAAAAATGTTGTAAGTGAAATTTATTGTTTTTTAAATTTCCTGTTTTAGCAAAATTTCGATTTTTTTTGTCTTTAAGATCATAAGACAGGAGCACTGCAGGAGGCCTACTGGCCCATGTTAGGTAGGTCGATTAAGTCACATGTGGTACAGTTTTGCCTGTAGGTCTACATAGCCTACAGCCTCGGGGCCAGGAGTTATACCTCGACCCCTGCAACCACAGGTAGGTGGGTACAGTAGACTTCTTCAGTCGAGTCCAGAGGCAGCAGTGTAGTAGTGAACCTGGAGTTTACCTGGAGACAGTTCCGGGGGTCAACGCCCCCGCGGCCCGGTCTGTGACCAGGCCTCCTGGTGGATCAGAGCCTGATCAACCAGGCTGTTACTGTTGGCTGCACGCAAACCAACGTACGAGCCACAGCCCGGCTGGTCAGGAACCGACTTTAGGTGCTTGTCCAGTGCCAGCTTGAAGACTGCCAGGGGTCTGTTGGTAATCCCCCTTATGTGTGCTGGGAGGCAGTTGAACAGTCTCGGGCCCCTGACACTTATTGTATGGTCTCTTAACGTGCTAGTGAAAATTATATAATCAGTCCATCAACCTTGGATAAGTAGAATTGGAGGTGGTCAGTCCCTCAGCCTGATTCCCTTAGGCTGAGGGACTAACCACCTTGTTCTAGACCATGGAGCTGAACTCTTCTCCAGGCTGAGGGACTGACCACCTTGTTCCAGACCATGGAGCTGGACTCTTCTCCAGGCTGAGGGACTGACCACCTTGTTCCAGACCATAGAGCTGGACTCTTCTCCAGGCTGAGGGACTGACCACCTTGTTCCAGACCATGGAGCTGAACTCTTCTCCAGGCTGAGGGACAACCACCTTGTTCCAGACCATGGAGCTGAACTCTTCTCCAGGCTGAGGGACAACCACCTTGTTCCAGACCATGGAGCCTAGCTGACAGTCAGCCTATATAAAATATAGGTGACACAAATTACGATATACTACACAAGTGTATTACATAGTGCTTAAATAACACTACTGACAATGATACTAGGCTAGGATGGTACTAGGCCAGTATGGTACTAGGCCAGTATGGTACTAGGCTAGTATAATACTAGGTTAGGATGGTACTAGGGCCAGTATGGTACTAGGCCAGTATGGTACTAGGCTAGTATAATACTAGGTTAGGATGGTACTAGGCCAGTATGGTACTAGGCCAGTATGGTACTAGGCTAGTATAATACTAGGTTAGGATGGTACTAGGCCAGTATGGTACTAGGCCAGTATGGTACTAGGCTAGTATAATACTAGGTTAGGATGGTACTAGGCCAGTATGGTACTAGGCCAGTATGGTACTAGGCTAGTATAATACTAGGCTAGGATGGTACTAGGCCAGTATGGTACTAGGCCAGTATGGTACTAGGCTAGTATAATACTAGGTTAGGATGGTACTAGGCCAGTATGGTACTAGGCCAGTATGGTACTAGGCTAGTATAATACTAGGCTAGGATGGTACTAGGCCAGTATGGTACTAGGCCAGTATGGTACTAGGCCAGTATGGTACTAGGCTAGTATAATACTAGGCTAGGATGGTACTAGGCCAGTATGGTACTAGGCCAGTATGGTACTAGGGTAGTATAATACTAGGCTAGGATGGTACTAGGCCAGTACGGTACTAGGCCAGTATGGTACTAGGCCAGTATGGTACTAGGCTAGTATAATACTAGGCTAGGATGGTACTAGGCCAGTATGGTACTAGGCTAGTATAATACTAGGCTAGGATGGTACTAGGCCAGTATGGTACTAGGCCAGTATGGTACTAGGCTAGTATAATACTAGGCTAGGATGGTACTAGGCCAGTATGGTACTAGGCCAGTATGGTACTAGGCTAGTATAATACTAGGCTAGGATGGTACTAGGCCAGTATGGTACTAGGCCAGTATGGTACTAGGCTAGTATAATACTAGGTTAGGATGGTAATAGGCCAGTATGGTACTAGGCCAGTATGGTACTAGGCTAGTATAATACTAGGCTAGGATGGTACTAGGCCAGTATGGTACTAGGCCAGTATGGTACTAGGCCAGTATGGTACTAGGCTAGTATAATACTAGGCTAGGATGGTACTAGGCCAGTATGGTACTAGGCCAGTATGGTACTAGGGTAGTATAATACTAGGCTAGGATGGTACTAGGCCAGTACGGTACTAGGCCAGTATGGTACTAGGCCAGTATGGTACTAGGCTAGTATAATACTAGGCTAGGATGGTACTAGGCCAGTATGGTACTAGGCTAGTATAATACTAGGCTAGGATGGTACTAGGCCAGTATGGTACTAGGCCAGTATGGTACTAGGCTAGTATAATACTAGGCTAGGATGGTACTAGGCCAGTATGGTACTAGGCCAGTATGGTACTAGGCCAGTATGGTACTAGGCTAGTATAATACTAGGCTAGGATGGTACTAGGCCAGTATGGTACTAGGCCAGTATGGTACTAGGCTAGTATAATACTAGGCTAGGATGGTACTAGGCCAGTATGGTACTAGGCCAGTATGGTACTAGGCTAGTATAATACTAGGCTAGGATGGTACTAGGCCAGTATGGTACTAGGCCAGTATGGTACTAGGCTAGTATAATACTAGGCTAGGATGGTACTAGGCCAGTATGGTACTAGGCCAGTATGGTACTAGGCTAGTATAATACTAGGCTAGGATGGTACTAGGCCAGTATGGTACTAGGCCAGTATGGCACTAGGCCAGTATACTAGGCTATTATGGTACTAGGTCAGTATGGTGCTAGGCCAGTATGGTACTAGGCCAGTATGGTACTAGGCCAGTATGGTACTAGGCCAGTATGGTACTAGGCCAGTATGGTACTAGGCCAGTAATATAGCAGTGTGATGACCTGGCTGCTGGAACCTCCGCTCAAGTGGTTCTGCTGGCCAGTAATATAGCAGTATATTAACGTGGCTGCTGGAACCTCCGCTCAAGTGGTTCTGCTGGCCAGTAATATAGCAGTATATTAACGTGGCTTCTGGAACCTCCGCTCAAGTGGTTCTGCTGGCCAGTAATACAGCAGTATATTAACCTGGCTTCTGGAACCTCCGCTCAAGTGGTTCTGCTGCCCAGATAAATTCAATAGGATATTGTATTTCTTTGTATAATATACAATATAAGATTTATACGTTATAAATACATTATTAAGAACCAACAATGTCATTAAGATAATTTAATACAAGACGGAGGTCATGGAGTGATCGATTTTTTTTTTATTTTTCCTGTTTTTTTATTAATACAGACTAGTGGTAGCCAAAATTTGATAATAGAGAGGCTGGAAGGAGTAAATAAGAATATTAGAATTAGTACAATTTTTCGAAATCACAACAGTATAGTTTTGGCTTAATTTTTTCGATTGATTTAATGGTAAGATAAGATAAGATAAGATTTCGTTGGGATTTTTAACCCCGGAGGGTTAGCCACCCAGGATAACCCAAGAAAGTCAGTGCGTCATCCAGGACTGTCTAACTTATTTCCATTGTGGTCCTTAATCTTGTCCCCCAGGATGCCACCCACACCAGTCCACTAACACCCAGGTACTTATTTGCTGCTAGGTGAACAGGACAACAGGTGTAAGGAAACGTGTCGAATGTTTCCACCCGCCGGGTGTAAGTTTATTCAGGTATACACAAACACAGTTACATAGAATTATCATACATAGCAGCATATGTGTAGAGAACCTGGGATAACACAAAAAAGTCAGACAGAGTGACTTATTTCCATTGGGGTCTTGAGTTAATAGAGATTTTTTGAGTAATTTCAAACTGGAGTTATAATTTTAGGTATATTATAGTGGCGGTGTAGTATAGTGATGGTATAATTAAGTGTTGGGATAGTTAAGATGAGAGGTTTTGTTGTTATGGTTCTAAACTGATTATCAGACAAGGGACCTCATAGAATGAGCACTGCAGTGGGCCTGTGGGCCCACCCTGGGCAGGTCCATCACAGAACCAACCCACTGAATATTTGCCTAACCATCTTTCAAGACAATGGATTCTAGCTCTTGGGGCACTAGGTGTCTCAAGGAAACGGTTCGTAATGTTTCCAGCCGTCCCGGAGAATTGAACCCCGAACCTCAGTGTGTGAGCTGAGTGGATTGACGGTGGTCTGGTAGGTAAAGCTCCCGCTTCACACACGGAGGGCCCGGGTGGAAACATTTCGACGCGTTTCCTTACACCTGTTAAGATAAGAAGATAAGATTTCGTTGGGATTTTTAACCCCGGAGGGTTAGCCACCCAGGATAACCCAAGAAAGTCAGTGCGTCATCGAGGACTGTCTAACTTATTTCCATTGTGGTCCTTAATCTTGTCCCCCAGGATGCCACCCACACCAGTCGACTAACACCCAGGTACCTATTTGCTGCTAGGTGAACAGGAGAACAGGTGTAAGGAAACGTGTCGAAATGTTTCCACCCGCCCGGGAATCGAACCCGGGCCCTCCGTGTGTGAAGCGGGAGCTTTACCCACCAGGCCACCGGACCACCTGTTCACCTAGCAGCAAATAGGTACCTGGGTGTTAGTCGACTGGTGTGGGTGGCATCCTGGGGGACAAGATTAAGGACCACAATGGAAATAAGTTAGACAGTCCTCGATGACCCACTGACTTTCTTGGGTTATCCTGGGTGGCTAACCCTCCGGGGTTAAAAATCTCAACGAAATCTTATCTTATCTTATCTACGGTACACCTTGTTGGCTCAGTTATAATTAGTAGTAGCAAGCAGGTGTTTACAGTGCTAGTGAAGTCAAATACTTGAGGGCCAAGTGCTGGGATGTCCTCCATATTGAAGTCACCACCGGGAATCAGGTAATGTTGACACATCTCTGAGTCAATTATTAAATTTCTTAGTTTATAACTGTGTAAGGATTTGTGTGAGGCAGTCAATAGACTGCTCCAGTCTGGTGGTTAACGCTCTCGCTTCACACGGTGAGGGTCTGGGTTCGATTCCCAGCCAGAGTAGAAACATTGGACGTGTTTCTT